CATGGAAACTGAACAACTGGCTCTTGAATGTTGACTGAATAAACAATGAAATGAAGGCAGAAATAAAGATGTCCTTCGAAACCAACGAGAATGAAGACGCAACGTACCAGAATCACTGGGACACATTTAAAGCAGTGTCTAGAGGAAAATTTATAGCAATAAATGCCCACATGAGAAGCAAAGAAAGATCTAAAATCGACACCCTATCATCAAAATTGAAAGAGCTAGAGGAGCAAGATCAAGAAAACTCAAAACCTGGCAGAAGACAAGAAATAACTAAGATCAGAGCAGAACTGAAGGAGACAGAGACACAAAAAAACCCTCAAAAAATCAATAAATCCAGGAGTAGGTTTTTTTTGAAAAGATCAACAAAATAGACCACTAGCCAGATTAATAAAAAAGAAAAGACAGAAGAATCAAATAGATGCAATAAAAAACGATAAAGGGGATATCACCACAGATTCCACAGAAATACAAACTACCATCAGAGATTACTACAAACAACTCTACGCACATAAACCAGTAAACCTGGAAGAAATGGATAAATTCCTGGACACTTACACCCTCCCAAGCCTAAACCAGGAAGAAGTCAAAATCCTGAACAGACCAATAACAAGGGCTGAAGTTGAGGCAGCAATTAATAGCTTACCAACCAAAAAAAGCCCAGGTCCAGACGGGTTCACAGCCAAATTCTACCAGACATACAAAGAGGAGCCAGTACCACTCCTTCTGAAACTATTCCAAACAATCCAAAAAGAGGGAATCCTCCCCAAATCTTTTTAAGAGACCAACATCATCCTGATACCAAAACCCAGCAGAGACTCAACAAGAAAAGAAAACTTCGGGTCAACATCCATGATGAACATTGATGCAAAAATCTTCAATAAAATGCTGGCAAATCGAATCCAACAGCACATCAAATAGCTTATCCATCACAATCAAGTAGGCTTCATCCCGGGGATGCAAGGCTGGTTCAACATACACAAGTCTATAAACATAATCCACCACATAAACAGAACCAAAGACAAAAACCACATGATTATCTCAATTGATGCAGAGAAGGCCTTTGACAAAATTCAACAGCCCTTTATGCTAAAAACTCTCAATAAACTAGTTATCAATGGAACGTATCTCAAAATAATAAAAGCTATTTATGACAAACCCACAGCCAATATCATACTGAATGGGCAAAAACCAGAAGCACTCCCTTTGAAAACTGGCACTAGACAAGGATGCTCTCTCTCACCACTCCTATTCAATACAGTATTGGAATTTCTAGCCAGAGTAATCAGGCAAGAAAAAGAAATAAAGGGTATTCAATTAGGAAAGGAGGAAGTCCAATTGTCTCTATTTGCAGATGACATGATTGTATATTTAGAAGACCCCATTGTCTCAGCCCAAAATCTCCTGAAACTGATAAGCAACTTCAGCAAAGTCTCAGGATACAAAATCAATGTGCAAAAATCACATGCATTCCTATACACCAATAACAGACTTAAAGAGAGCCAAATCAAGAATGAACTGCCATTCACAATTGCTACAAAGAGAATGAAATACCTAGGAATACAACTAACAAAGGATGTAAAGGACCTCTTCAAGGAGAACTACAAACCACTGCTCAAGGAAATAAGAGAGGACACAAACAGATGGAGAAACATTCCATGTTCATGGTTAGGAAGAATCAATATCGTGAAAATGACCATACTGCTCAAAGTAATTTATAGATTCAACGCTATCCCCATCAAGCCACCAATGACCTTCTTCACAGAACTAGAAAAAAACCACCTTAAACTTCATATGGAACCAAAAGAGAGCCCACATAGCCAAGTCAATTCTAAGCAAAAAGAGCAAAGCTGGAGGCATCACACTATCTGACTTCAAACTATACTACAAGGCTACAGTAATCAAAACAGCATGGTACTGGTACCAAAACAGAGATATAGACCAGTGGAACAGAAAAGAAGCCTTGTAGGCAATGCCACACATCTACAACCATCTGATCTTTGACAAACCTGACAAAAACAAGGAATGGGGAAAGGATTCCTTGTTTAATAAACGGTGTTGGGAAAACTGGCTAGCCATGTGCAGAAAGCAGAAACTGGACCCCTCCCTAATACCTGACACTAAAATTAACTCCAGATGGATTAAAGACTTAAGCATAAGACCTAACATCATAAAAACCTTAGAAGAAAACCTAGGCAAAACCATTCAGGACATAGGCGTAGGCAAGGACTTCATGACTAAAACACCAACAGCATTGGCAACAGAAGCCAAAATAGACACATGGGATCTAATTAATTCCAAAGCTTCAGCACAGCAAAAGAAACAATCATTAGAGTGAACAGGCAACCAACAGAATGGGAAAAAATTTTTGCAATCTACCCATCTGACAAAGGACTTATATCCAAAATCTACAAAGAACTAAAACAGATTTACAAGAAAAAAAAAAAAAACATTCAAAAGTGGGCAAAGGATATGAACAGACACTTTTCAAAAGAAGACATATATGAGGCCAACAAACATATGAAAAAATGCTCATCATCACTGGTCATTAGAGAAATGCAAATCAAAACTACATTGAGATACCATCTCACGCCAGTTAGAATGGTGATCATTAAAAAATCTGGAGATAACAGATGTTGGAGAGGATGTGGAGAAAAAGGAACACTTTTACACTGTTGGTGAGAGTGTAAATTAGTTCAACCATTGTGGAAGACAGTGTCGCGATTCCTCAAGGACCTAGAAATAGAAATTCCATTTGATCCAGAAATCCCATTACTGGGTATATATCCAAAGAATTATAAATTGTTCTACTATAAGGACACATGCACACGAATGTTCATTGCAGCACTGTTTACAATAGCAAAGACCTGGAACCAACCCAAATGCCCATCGATGATAGACTGGACAGGGAAAATGTGGCACATACACACCATGGAATACTATGCAGCATAAAAAACGATGAGTTTGTGTCCTTTGTAGGGACATGAATGAACCTGGAAACCATCATTCTCAGCAAACTGACACAGGAACAGAGAATCAAGCACTGCATGTTCTCACTCATAGGTGGGTGTTGAACAATGAGAAAACATGGACACAGGGAGGGGAGCATCACACACTGGGGTCTGTTGGGGAGGGACAGTGGTGGGTGGGGAGTTGGGGAGGGATAACATGGGGAGAAATGCCAGATATAGGTGATGGGGATGGAGGCAGCAAACCATATTGCCATGTATGTACCTATGCAACAATCCTGCATGTTCTTCACATGTACCCCAGAACCTAAAATGCAATTTAAAAAATATATATATATACATTTAAAAAACAAATAGGTTCAAAATCCTAAGTTTATAATGATACTCAAAAAAAGGGAGGTTATAGATTTGCTAATGATCCTGATTTGATCATTACAAATTGTACACATGTACTGAAATATCATACTGTACCCCATAAATATGTGCAACTATTATGTGTCAATTACAGGCAACTTATTTACTATATTTTCCTTGTTTTTTTTTAATTTTTTTTTTTTTTTTGAGATGGAGTTTCTCTCTTGTTGCCCAGCCTGGAGTACAATGGCATGATCTTGGCTCACTGCAACCTCTGCCCCTAGGATTCAAGTGATTCTCCTGCCTCAGCCTCCCAAGTAGCTGGGATTACAGGCATGTGACACCACATCCAGCTTATTTTTTATATTTAGTACAGACAGGGTTTTACCATGTTGGTCAGGCTGGTCTCGAACTCCTGACCTCATATGATCCACCCGCCTCAGCCTTCCAAAGTGCTGGGATTACAGGGGTGAGCCACCCCGCCCAACCAGTTTTTTACAATAAGTAGGTATTATGGAGCCATCCTTGGGTCAAGACAGTAACAATAGTAGCAATCTTTTTATGATACTTATTATCAAATTGTATACTTTAAGTATGTGCAGTTTCTGTTATGTAATTTATATTTCAATAAAGAGAGAGAGAAGGGAAGGAGAGGGGAGGAGAGGGAAGGGGAGGGGAGGAGAGGAAAGGCGAAGGAAGGGGAGGGAGGGAGGAAGGAAGGAAGGAAGGAGAAAAAAAGAGGGGGAAGGAGAGAGGGAGGGAAAAGGAAAATTTCATTACATTGTCTTTGAGCATGTTAGGACACCAATTCATTATTTTTGAAAATGGATAAATAAAGGAAAAAATCAAGCAAAAAAAAAAAAAAAAAAAAAGAACAAGAACACAATTTAGCCATATTCTCTGGTACTTTATAACAAGGATTGCTGTTCTCCCAGCTTGCAATAATATGTTCCTTATTTCTATCTGAGATCTCATCAAAAGTACCTTTAACATTCATGTTTCTACCAATAGTCTGGTTAAGGCAATCTAGGCTTTTTCTGTCAAGCATATCAAAACCTAGCCCCTTCCTCCAGCCTCTACCTGTTACCCAATTCCAAAGCCACTTTCACATTTTTAAGGTATTTCTCACAGCAGTACCCCATTTTCAAGTATAAAACTCTGTATTAGTTTCCTAGGGCTGTTAAAACAAAGTACCACAAACTAGGGGAATCAAAACAACAGAAATTTATTGTCTCACAGTTTTGGGGCCAGAACTCCAAAACCCCAAGGTGTTAGCAGGGTCATACTCTCTTTGAAGGTGCTAGGGAAGGAACTGTTCCAGATCTCTCTTAGCCTCTGGTGGCCTCAAGTGTTTCTTGGCTTACAGATGTATCATTCTAGTCACATTCCATCTTCTCCCTGTGTATCTTCATATTGCCTTCCCTGTGTGTGTGTGTGTGTGTGTGTGTGTGTGTGTGTCCCCAGTTTTCCCCTTTTTATAAGGACACCAATTATATTAGATTAAGGACCACCCTAAAGACTCTATTTCCAAATAAGGTCTTTAAGCAGCCAAGAGAAACCAGGTTGTGCTTTCTGGGGGCCTGGGGGTTAGTAGGACTTTAACATATTTTATTTGGGGGACACAATTTAACCCATAACAGGCTACTCACAGCTTCATAGGATGGTTGTCCTTACCCACTGACAGCAGGTGGCTGTAGTTCTCCAACATTACATCCTGGTACAGGCGTCTTTGAGTAGAGTCCAGTTGCTGCCACTCTTCTCTACTGAAGTCCACAGTCACATCCTCAAACGACACTGATACCTGTAACAACACAGTCTTGTTCAAGGCAACATGATCAGTACTGGAGGATGGGGAGAAGACAGATAGGAAGTTGTTTTTAATACTTTTTCATCATAATATACCATATGGTATGCCCATTAAATACTTAGTTTAAATATACACACATATATAATATTATGTAGAATATAAAAAATCTAATCATAAATTTCTGCTATTCATTATGTATGACACTTAGTCTTCCATTTATTAAAAATGATAATTTTTAGCAAGGATTTGACCTTGATCCTATTTTGTTGCTCATTTTTATGAGAAATTTGTGCTCTATAACTTTTAGAAGGAAGCACATATATTCCCTCCATCCCAATTTTTAAAAATTTCACATAGCTCCCTCTCCTGTTGTTTTCATTTACTCTTCAAAAATATGGTCTTTTTTCTTGATGCCTTTTTATTGGTCATTTCTAATTTGATTCTGTGGTGGTCAGAAAGTACACTCTGTGTGATTTCAACATATGGTCTATCTAGGCGAATGTTTCCACGTTTCCCTGAAAAGAATATATATTTGGCTATTGATGGCTGTAGTGTTCTGTAATATGTAAATCAAGTTGGTTGAATGTTGTTGAAATTTCCTGTTGTATCACTGATTTGTTTTCTACGGGTTTAATCACTTATTTGTCAAGATTTTGGTAAAAATTGATAAAATGTTAATGTTTATATGGCTATGCAAAGGACCCAGAATAGTCAAAATCAAGAAAAAGTATGAAGGATTTATACCCCTTAATGTTAAGATATATTGTAAAGCTACAGTAATTTAAGCAGTATAGGATGATGTAAGCACAGACAGACATATCATTAGAACAGAATAAAGTGCAGAAACAAACCACACATATACAGACAATTTTTTTTTGGACAAAGGTGCCAATGAGATTCAATGAGCAAAAGGGAAGTCTTTTAAACAAATTGTGCTGGAACGGATAGATATCAGTATCAGGAAAAAACCACAAACCTTGACCCACACCTCACACCATATACAAAAATTAATGAAAATTAAGTTTCAGTATGACTGCATTGCTTTTATCAGACCAACCTTCGTACAGATAACAACTATAAACTCTGAGCAAAAAATATTTTAAAAACTATCTAAAGATACTAAGGAGCAATCCAAGTCAGGCTGTACTTGAAGGAGAGTTGACACTTAGAAGAGAGGTTGGCACTTTAGCTTGTGAATAGGCCCAGTCAGTGCCATGTGGGGTAACTAAAATTCCAAGAGAAGTGGTGCATGCCTATGGTCCTGGCTACTTGGGAGGCTGAGGTGGAAGGACTGATTAAACCTGGGAGGTCAAGGCTGCAGTGAGCTCATTGTGCCACTGCACCCCAGCCTGGGTGACAGAGCCAGACCCTGTCTCAAAAAAAAAAAAAAAGAGACAGAGAAGAAATGAAAACCACGTGTTATTGCCTTGAAGAATCAAAGGGGAGTTCTATAGTCATCACTACCCCTGGAAAATCCAGGTAGTGGGGTTTCCAGAAAGGCATTGAAAGAGAGAAGAGTGCCGAAATTCTGTGGATGAACTCCGCCCAAATCTCTAGTTGACCAGCTAAATGAACTGAAACTTGAGCTACCACATACCACAGAGAAAACTAGTTCCTAGTTTGATCCAGGCATGTTAAGTGCTTCTTACAAAGCAAAACAAAAAATCAGCACTATTCAGAGGAATTAAACAGAATCAAGCATCTCTAATACATGTTTCACAACAAAGACACAATCCAAAACAACTTAAAGAGAGACAGAAAGGTGTGGCGTGAAAGGGAAGAGGCTCAAGAGAAAATGAACTCAGAGACTGACCAGAGGTGATCTAAATGCTAGAATTAGCAGAAAAGCACTTTAAATCAGTTAGTTATAATTATGCTCAAAAACATATAAATATGTTCATAATAAATGAATAAATAGGATAGGCCAACTGAGAAATATAAACTATTTAAAAAAACTGAAAAATACCATCTGAAACTAAAAAGTTCACTGGATGGGCTTAACAGAAGAATAGAGATAATTGAAGAAAGAGGTAATTAACTTAAAGAAAGACCAACAGAAATTATCCAATCTGAAAAACAGTGAAAATAAAATCGAAAATAAAAACAAATACAGTCTCAAGGATGATGCTATGGTTTGAATGTTTGTGATACCTCCAAAATTCATGTTTAAACTAAATCCTAATGCAACAATATTAAGAGGTATGGCCTTTGGGAGGTATTTAGGTCATGAGGGCTCATGAATGGATTAGGAGTGTTCTTTTAAAAGGGCTGGAGGGAACTAGCTATGTCCTTCCTTTTTGACCTTCCACCCTTTCCACCATGTGAGGACACAGAATTCACCCCTTCTGGAGGACACAGCAACAAGGTGCCATCTTGGAAGCAGACAGCAGCCTTCACTGGATACCTAAGTTGCTGGTGCGTTTATCTTGCACTTCTCAGCCTCCAGAACTGTGAGAAATAAATTTCTATTGTTTATAACATACCCAATCTCAGGGATGTTGTTACAGCAGGACAAACAGACTAAGACAGATGAGTAAGACAAAAATCAAAACATCTAACATACATGTAATTTAAGACCCAGAAGGAAAGAAGAGCAGAAAAGATATTTTTAAATATAATGTGCAGACATATATACCATGGAATACTATGTAGCCATAAAAAAGGATGAGTTCATGTTCTTTACAAGGACATGGATAAAGCTGGAAACCATCATTCTCAGCAAACTAACATAAGAACAGAAAACCAAACACCACATGTTTTCACCCATAAGTGGGAGTTGAACAATGAGAACACATGGACACAGGGAGGGGAACATCACACACCGGGGCCTGTTGGGGGGCAGGGGGCTAGGGAAGGGATAGCACTAGGAGAAATACCTAATGTAGATGATGGGGTGATGGATGCAGCAAACCACCAAGACACGTGTATAACCATGTAACAAACCTGCATGTTCTGCACATGTACCCCAGAACTTAAAGTATAATAAAAATAAAATAATAATGTGCAGAAACTCCTCAAATTTGGTAAAAGACATACATTTACAGATTCAATAAGTTTTGCACATTTCAAACAGAATAATCCGCATAAAGCCATTCCTAGGAACATCATAGTCAAACTATTGAGAACCAAAGAAGACAAGATTTTACAAGCAGCTAGAACAGCAAAAAACAAACACCGCCCCCCAACAAATATTACATATAGAGAAATGGTGATTCAAGTGACCACTTATTGCTCAACAGAAGAAATGGAGGCTACAATACAGTTGGATGATACTTTTAAAATGCTGAAGAAAATAAAGTATTATCTGGCTGGTTAAATGTTAGGAGTTCTTTGATTAGAATTTATTTCTCACAGCTCTGGTTAAATGTTAGGAGTTCTGAAGGCCTAGGAATAATTCTTCATGGCTCTTTGCACCACACACTGGGTTCTTGGCATCACCATCTGAGTCATCCTTCCTTTTTCATGAAAGGCAACAAAAGAGTTTGCTCAGCCTGCTTCCTGCCAGAAGAATTTTTGGGGCTAACGGATTTTTCCATTTTTTATTGTTTATATCCCTTTCAGTCCAAAGTGGTAGTATTTCTGCTAATATAGTTTGCTGTAATATTTTATCTTCTGTGAATCTCACTGGGTTTACTTCATTAGACAAAAGCTATACCCATAGATCTGTCTGAAATTTAGGATTTCTCTAACATTCTCCTTAAAATCTTTTCCAGCCTCCACCAACTTCTCAGTTTGAAGGACACTCCCACATTTTCAGGGTGCCCTATTCCCAGTGCCAAAATTTGTGTTACTTATCTATTTGATGCATAGAAAATCACTCTAAAACTTAGTAAGTTAAAACAACTGAGTCACTCAGCACAACAGCCTGTAAGAAACTGAATCTTACCAACAATCACTTTGAGTAAGCTTGGAAGTGGATCCTTCCCTAGGCAATCTTCAAGATGAATGTAGCCCCAGCCAACACCATGGACTACAGCCTTGTGAGAGACCGTGAGTGAGGGGACCCATGTAAGCCACACCTAGATTCCTGACTCACAGAAACTGTGAGGTAATAGATGAGGGCAGCTCACAACATGGCAGCTTGCTTCATCAGAGCAAGCAAGAAGAGCCAGAGAGTGTGCTGGCAAGCCATCTTACAGTCTCTTATAACCTAACATCAGAAGGGCTATCCCATCACTTTTGCCATATTCTATTTATTAGAAGCAAGTCACTAGGTCCAGCCCACACACAAAGTGAAGTGGATTACATGAGGTCATGAATACTGAGTAGTGGGGATCACTGAGAGCCATTTTAGAAGGCTGCTTACTACAATGTATCAAAATTTGTGAGAAGCAGATAAGAGACAAATTTAGAAGAAAATTTATAGCTTCATACAGTCATATTAGAAAAGTTTAAATCAGTGTCCTAAAATTTACCCTCAAGGAGCCATTAGCTAATAGAAAATGAAGGACCAAGTAAACCTAAAGGAAGTAAAAGAAAGGAACTAAAGAACAGAAATAGAAAACAAACCATAGAAAAAGTTAACAAAAAATTAACTTGAGCTAGATTATAGACCTCAACATAGAAGCTGAAACTAAAAATACCCTAGAAGGAAATATAAGAGGATATCTTTGCAACCTTGACATAAGCATAGATTTCTTAACATAGTACAAAAAGCCCCAACCATAAGAGAAAATCTTCAAAAACTGGATCTTATCAAAATTAAAACTTCTGCTCATCAAAAGACACTATTGAGAAAATGAAAAGTCAAGCCACAGACTGGGAGAAAATATTTACAATACATACACAAAACACCCATAATTAAGAATGTAGAAAGAACTCCTAGAAAGTAATAAGAAAAAGACACATAGCCCAATTTTTTTAATGGGAAAAATACTTGATCAGACACAAAAAAGATACACAAATGGCCAATAAAGCACATGAAAAGATATTCACCATCATTGGTTATAAGGGAAATGCAATTTAAGCTATATTGAGAAAGCACTAGACACTCA